CCTTGCAGAAAATTCTCTGTACAATTTTTTAAATTATGTTAAAATAACAAAGTCACAATTTAAACAATTTTGAAGTGTTTGATTCACTGGCAGTAAGGAATACACAATGTTGCACCACTTTCCTTACTAGTATACGATTTCCGATTCTCCAGCGCCCCTAGCCTCTGATAAACCATATTCTGATTTCACTTACTTCCTGAGGGAAATGTAGAGACTTCATAATAGTTCCTTCGAGATGAGGAGAAAGGGCTTACACTAGATCACAAACACTGAGTATCTTCTTCCCCTGAACAACCACTAGTCATTGAAGATTTTTTCCGTAAAGAATCAGGAGTCCTTCCTTCCCTTCCTTGCACCCCTTCCTTCCTCGCCACCAGTGTCAGGCCCTGCGCTCCAAACCCTTTGTCTCTTCCTAGGCAGGAGTGGCGGGAACCGTACTGTTTTGTGTGCATGGTACAGTGTAGTGTGTGTGTGTGTGTGTGTGTGTGTGTGTGTGTGTGTGTGTGTGTGTGTGCACATGTGTAAGTCTGGAGATCAAATTCAAATCCTCTTAGGCCACCATTCAAATCTATTAATACTTGTGTTTTACTTTTCACCATATTTTGAACGACAAGCATGTATACTTTTGTTTTACAATCTGATGCTGTTTTTGAGAAAAAGTCCATTCAGTGGTGCCCTGAGGAGGTCAGACTTCTTCAACATGACCCCCTTCTCAGTCTTTTTCGTGAACTGCTGTGTGCAGTTCAGAAAAGGCATCATCCCATGGTATAATGCACAGCACATGGGAACACTGTCATGTGCTGTTTAAACTTGCTGAAAGTAGACTCTGAGAGTGAGAAGGGCCCTCCTGTCCTAGACCCTGTCATGTTATTCCAAGGTTCTCCCAAAATGTCCTCCAAATATTCTTTCCTGGGACAGGCTGGGCTGCTAATTCTGTAGGAGGGAAGAAACAGAATCAGCAAAGCAGCCCACGAGTATTGACCCACTGTCCTTGGGGACAGCTGGAAGGTGACTCACTTCCAAAGATGTTACTGCTGCTTATCTCCTATATAAAAGTATCTGAAGTGGGAAGGCAAAGAGCAGCTCAGCCGTGAGAAGCTCATTCACGGAGACAAATCTCAATTGTGAGGTCCAGCTGACTGCCTCAGTTTGCCCAGTATTTCTGCTGGGTGTTTGGAGGCCCCTAGTTTGATTGCTCTCTCATCCAGGCTACTACCCCAGTCATCGCTGCTGAATGTGGTAAATTCCGATTTGATAATATGTTGCTAGCTACCTGCTGCTTCAATGCTGCTTACTATTTATCCCTTTACTTTTGATTGCTATGTGCGTAATAAACTTACTAATTCAAGACAGAATTCATAGCTCACATAGAACATTCTCTAGACTGGCCTTACAGAACACATGGTCCAATCTGCTATCAATCAAACATCACAGAGCAATGACAGTTCAGTATGACCACAGTCAAAGACTAAAGGTAGAAATGGTTTCCTTAGGCAATGACTTGATAGTTATGGAACTGCAGTCCACTCATGCTGTACTGGGTGAAAAGCAGCCTTTCCCCAGGCAGAGCTGATATGATGTTACTGAGAACGCCCAGCAGACATTTGTGCAGCTGTTTATTCTTCACCTGTTCTAGCTGGACCTGCATGCACCACAGGTAAATCTCCATGCTCCCAGATGCTCACTCAGTTCCAGCTGTTGCAACATCAATACTCTACGCTTTTAGTGCTCTCTATCCAGAAGGTATAATGTACAGTCTCTGGGCTACCTTGAAATCTATTGCTGCTCTCACCGTCTATGTTCATATCCTCCATCTTCTGGGCTAGCCTCATCTACTCCAGTTCCAGATCCTGTAGTTCCCTTGCAGTTCCTTCTGTAGAGTCTTTCCCTCATCTTAACCATGATAATGTGGTCTCTAGACAGAGTCTCAATTATCTATTCTGGAACAGTGAGTTGGGCATCCAGATGTTTTAACATATTGTTTATATGCTCGTCAGTCAGCAGGTGGTCCATACCTTTTTGTACAGAGAAAATGCCTAACATGTCTGCAGAGGCTCTCTGGATACTTCAATGTTCCCATGGAGACAACTTCACCAAGCAGGATAAAGTTGTTAGCACTTCCACTGGGCATCCTGGCATTGCCAGAAGCTTTCCACGATATGTCATTGGTGTGGAGAGGCCACTGTTCTTGTGTTCTCCTGGCTCCCACGGACTAAGCTACCTTGATGGATTGTTCAGGGGCTGGCTGTAGCACTAGCACATGAAGTAAAAAGAAGACATAGAGATCTTCACTCTTGAGTCTGAAGTCTCAGTATTTTCTGGCTTCCCAGTTGCTTCTCATTTGACACAATTTCCCCCTAGCATAGTGATACTTTTAGAAGTCACATCCTAACTTCTATTTATATGAATTTGTCTATTTTTAGGTATCTTTAAAAAATTTTATAATTAATTTAATTTTACATATCAGCCACGGATTCTCCTGTCCTCCCTCCCACCCCCACCCCACCCTCCCCCCAATCCACCACCCATTCCCATCTCCTCCAGAGCAAGGACTCCCCTGGGGATTCAGCTCAGCCTGGTAGATTCAGTTGAGGCAGGTCCAGTCCCCTCCTCCCTTCACCCAGGCTGAGCAAGGTGTCCCAGCATAGGCCCTAGGTTCCAAAAAGCCTGCTCATGTGCTAAGGACAGGCCTGGGGGCCTCCTAAATAGTTCAAGCTAATCAACTGTCTCACTTATCCAGAGGGCCTGATCCAGTTCCATGAGGGCTTCTCAGTTATTGGTTCATAGTTCATGTGTTTCCACTAGTTTGGCTATTTGTCCCTGTACTTTTTCCAATCATGGTCTCAATATCTCTTGCTCATATAATCCCTCCTCTCTCTCACCGATTGGACTCCTGGAGCTCCACCTGGGGCTTGGCCACGGATCTCTGTATCTGCTTCCATCAGTCACTGGATGAGAGTTCTATCTCTCTCATAACCTGACAGTTAGGGTGTATCTTTAAGGTAGTAATTGTTAACTCTGTTTAGAAGAGCTTACGTAACTCTTAGATTTAGGAGATTCTAAGATGATTCTTTTAAAGGCTGATTTCGTCCTTTTTACTTTCTGTAGGTGTGTGTGCCTGCATTTATGCACTTGCACAGTTGTACTGGTGACCTGGGAGGTCAGAAGAGGATGTCATATTATTTGGAACTGGAGTTATAGGCCGTGGTAAGTTGTTCATTGTGGGTACTAGAAACTAAACCAGGGTTTATTATTGACTAACTAAATTGATTCTAATGGTAGCTACAGTTAAGAAAGTACATAATCCATACAAACACTGTAATATTCATTTTGCTATTCAAACAACAAAAAAATGGGATAGCAAGATTTTTTTTACCATTAGGGTTTGTCTACCTGTACACTCTCCCTAGACACTGACCACAATTGGAGAAGCAAATTAACCACCCCCACACATGTGGCATCTTACAAATGTGGTAGTTTTCTATGGGTGCTGAAAAAAAGTACTATAAACTGGATGGTTATGGACACAAGAAGACTGAAATCACATGTCAGGTGGACTATCCTCTCTGTGCTGACTGTTAATCTTCCCAGACAAACTCAGTGTTTGCATTTAGGTGGCAGTCTTTTGCATCATTTCTGTTACATGGCTGTCCTCTGCCTGTGTATCTTCACGCGGTATTTCCCCAGTGTCTATCTGACTCAGTATACAAGTTTCCTCTTTCCTATAAAAATGCCTGTCATAGTGGGTTAAGGCTCACCCAAATGACCACATTCTGACTAGTTTCCCTCCGTAATGACCATATTTCAAAATAAGCTCACATTAAGAAATTATGGAAGTTCAGCCTAGTTTTAGGGGGAGGAATACAATTCAAGCCACAAAATAACCAACTAATGCAGATGTCATTGATATTTCCTTAAAGCAGGGTTTCTTTTTTGTTTTGTTTTTTTCTGGGAAGATATTAGAATTTTGTTTTCATGAACTGTCAATACAGGTAACAAACACAATGCTTGAGACATCTGTGCTGTCAAAAATGACTGGTGTTTTATTCCCTAGCACTTGCAATTATACCCAAGTAGCACCCATGAACATTATTAATAAGAAGTTGCAGTTATTAATATATAAACTGCTAGGTTTGCTGCTATCTCATACATTAATAATGAAGCATATATATCATGACATAATATTTTTATAATAGCAATTAATTAAAATTTATTTTGATTTAATTATATTTTAGGCATTTAACAATGTTAGTCTGAGAAAAATTCAATTAAAGTTTAACCCAGAGCCTCAATGGCTTTTTACACTTCAGACTTAAGGTAGCTTTAGACTTAGCAGTCAAGAATTAAACAGGGCATTCATTATACATCAAACAATTTCTTTTATCACTGTCCATCATGAAAATACAGTATTTTACATTTAACTCAAAATACTTCTCTCATACACCCCACAGAAACCTGAAACAAAGTATCATAAAACAATTATTTATCCTTAAAATATAGTATGCACTATTTATAACTAGTCCTAGAATAGAAATGAAATAATTTTGTTAAACATTTTTAGTGACATTTCCATAGAAATTTCTCATAGCATATCGTAAAAAGTGAAAGCTCATGTTATATACATACATTTTGTTTGCATACGTGTCTATCTATCTACTTATATATCTATTTACACACACGCACACACACATACACATATATATGTACACACATAACTTTAGAGGTGGCATTTAGATGAGCAAATACTTCAACTAACCAGGCTTCACTTAGACGACTGATTATTTAATGAGTTATGTAAATTTAATGGTATAAACTGAAATGTTACCAAATGTAGGAATGAAAGGTAAAAAATAAATATTCCAGGTAATTTAAATGCTATAAAATGTTTTAAATCCCCAGAGTTTAATTTAATTGAGGAGTTTCTTCAGCCACAATTACAGCATCAGGTACAGGAGTTTCTCACACAATATTCACTTGAACTGAAGTATAAAATGTTTTACCTGTAGTAAACTCGTAATGTCTGCAGTTCTTCTTCCAGTCTTTTGTACTGTTCAACTGCAGTTTCTCTGGCTTGCTGCATTGACAGCAATTTTGCCTGCAAATATTAGTTTTGGCATGTTAAAACACAGGGTGAAGTGTGAATATGAGTCAAACCCTTTGTTAGTTTAAAATTCTAGCCATATTTTTAGCAATCACAGTTCTCTACAAAAATAGTAGAAATATATGGGTAATAGACATACTAAAGACAAAATTTAGTAAGTGTATTAACTTGGCTAGTTACTAAGCTTCAACCTTATTTTATCTGTATTATCAGATATGCCCTTCTGCAATGTTTAACTTTATACACAGAATTGAGAATGTGGAACATGAGTTCAGAGAAGTATCTAGAGTAGAGATAAGCACAATGGGCATTTCAGATACAAATTTAATGTGACTCCAATGCTTGATCTCACTAGATTTTCTTTTAACTTTATTAACAGTAAAACTCAGAAAATTCTAAGTATGTTGTCAAGCCATCTTTGATACACAAAACTATGACCTGATTCTTACAGATATAAGTTAACCTTTTCAATTCCTTTTCTGCAAGGGAAAATTTTTCCCTAAAAAGTAGATTGATGGCAGCTTTCATAGCTAGATATACTTTGCTCAAGGATATTATCTTAACACATAGGCAACTAAGTCTACAAAATATTAAATTGAGTTTATTCTATTCTGATAAACCATCATCATTCTACATCTTAGCAGGATTGGTGGCGTTTTCATGTATGTATATATTGTGCGATGTTTGGAACAAGGTAAACTTTTCTATATCTTACAGATTTATCAGTATTTTGTGGCATAAACTTTTAAGGTATTTTCTCCTAGCTTTTTGCAGTGAGTTGTTATCTGTATTTTTATTCTGGTAGGGTTCAAAGTTGTAATTTTAAAATAATTTTCCATGTTCCCACCATCATTTCCACAAGTTTTAAGAAATGTTAAAAAGAGTTTAACATTACTTTAAAAATAAGGTATTAGTAAGTGAAGTTTTAGTATTATTTATTCAAAGTTCAATTTGCATGAAAATACTATGTTTCAGTTTAAATAGTCTTTGACAGTGAACATGCAAATGTTTCAAACCTTGAAAACTACACTGTCAATAATTAAAAGTAATTTAAATTCTGGAGTTTTAGCATTTTGTTGAATGCATATGATTCAGTGGAATTAGTTTCTTGCATAAGAATGCAGTAAATAAGAAAAATAATAAAAACACAATTATGAGAAAATTAATTAGTGTAATGAAAATGAACACTGGATAATGTAACTTTTCTATTTTAATAATGGAAAATTATAAAAGCATGCAGCAGTCTGGATATTTGCATATAAGCTTAAGAACAAGATATTAGTTTGTTTTCTATCTGGGCTAAGGAATTCTAACAGATTTATTCTGTAATTAAATTTAAGAAGTTTGAATGGTTGTTTTAGCCTTATGTATTCCATAACTATATGTGAGATATCCCTGCAAACTAGGAAAAACATTCAAAATAAACTCATTTCTATGTTAAAAAATTTTTGTTTTTACTTATATCCTTATATATATGTTTTACCATTTGTATTTTTGTATCTTTTCTACTTATAGTCTTATTTTTAGGTCAAATTTCATGAAAGTGAAACATATATATGACATCAAGTAAGAATACACACAAATTTTAGCAATTAGGTTTATTGAGTTATAATTTCTGGAAAGTTAAACTCAATGATTTCATACATATTATATGTGTTTTTATGAGGCAGAGTAAGAACTCTTGGTAAGGTTGTTCTATAACACATAGTGCAGCCCATGTCTTGAACTTGAGGCAATCTTCTCTTCAGTTTTTCCATGTTGCCACTACAGGCATGAGCCACCACATCTGGTTGCTTCTGTAAACTCTGACCAGTATATATGGTCATGTGACAAGCATCATGCTCAAGATATAAAGCATTCCCATTATCTCCAAATGTCTCATTGCACACCAATGCAGTCACTAGCCTCCTTTTATACTTAGCCTCTGTTCCTATATCTTTGCCTTCTTAGATTCTATAAAAGACATAGCCATTAATTCTAGCTTATTTTACTTAATATACTTTGAGATTAATCTACATTATTGCATGTTCCAGTAGTTCATTCCTTTATAATCAGTGAACAATGCTACACTGAGAACCATGATGTGACTATCTATTCACCAATTGATTGATGTTTTACAAGTCATTAATACAACTGCTCTAAATATCTGCATATATGTCATTTTTCTTGAGTGACTGCCTAGAAGCAGAATTTCTGGGTCCTATGGTGTGTATATTCATATAGTCTGTGAAGAAATCACAAAACTTGGTGATTTCACTGAAACAATCTTAAAGCTTCCATCTTGGAAGGACGTTAGCTGTTGAATTCCTGTCATGGGATGAGATGGTGTCAAGTGTTGGAAGACACTACACAGTCTATCCTTTCAAACAATCTATAGGATAATCCCCATTATTTCCAGGTGAAATGATGAATCAAATCATCATTAGGTAACAGAATTACTGACAACCGGATACACCATAATGCATTTTCCACATTCCCTTTATAATACCTAAATTAATGATAATAAAGATTGGTAGCCTAGTGCTAATGTATATACCTATTTTGGGCGCTGTGGTTGAAAGAGGACAGCCATTTATTATATTAGAAAGGAAATACACTGTTTTAGTAAGTCTTTTCTAGCAATTTAGAATGGTAGACAAAGGCAGGACTATACTGCTCACAGAACCAAACAGTATTTACTGTTGCTACTATTGTGGATAACAATCTTTATCTTACTTTAAAATCTTTTTATGTTTGGTTTCAATGTGTTTTTAATAGTTATAGTCTGAAATAGTTCAGCCTTCCTTTGGTATCACCAAGATCATTAATGCAAACCTCTTTTCATGACAGAGCAGAGGCAGTTGATTGTCTTCATGATATCTACTAAATAAAGGAGTATGATGTACAAATTAAATTGAGTCAGGATGCAGATTTGGGAAGCGTCTTAGAGGTAACACAGTCCTCTGTTTTCATGATAAGGAAATTGTTGCTATTGCAAACATTTGGAACTTGTCCAAGGTTTCACAGCTAATTAGAAAGAAAGCTGAAACTAGAATACAAATATTCATAAAGCATTGTTTATTTTACATTACAAGACCACATTTTAATATGACATAATTTAAGAGTATGTTAATTTTTAAAATAATCATTTTTACAGAATAATCATAAATATACTGAGCTCTGTTATAACTATGAAAATATCTCAAGACATCTTGTGTGTCTTTAAAGACGAGTCTAGATGACTGTTCAAGCAATGACTACAGTCAGCTAGTATCTGAGCTCTCAAACTTGCAAGGAGATTAAAAACTTAGTAGATAACATGTAACTAAAATGCTGGCAAAAAAAATAGCCTAAAAATTAAAAGCCATTATCAAAATGATAAAACTGAGACTTCATTTACATCTCTCTCTCAGATGCAGAATTTGTTCTTTAGAGCATTTTTAGTGGTTATATTTTACCCTCATGTCATGCCTTTTGATTTACCAAAATGGAGACAATTGAGTCTGTCATTCAAAGAGAATAATATATGCACTGTTCAATTATCTATGAGGTGATCTGACATCAGAGAGAAAATAGGCAATTGTGGTAGAAACAGAAACTATAGTATTAATAACTGAAGTTGATTCTTGAGCTTGAAGCACAATTCATATTATTAATAACTGAAGTTGATTCTTGAGCTCGAAGCACAGTTCATAGAACTGAGATAGAAAATCTAGAAAGAAGTATGCTAGAAGCACAGCCTGGCAAGTCCGTGGAACCAGGGACCTGGGAGGCATCCTGGCTCTCTTCTTGCAAGCTGTCTCATTAGGCAACCTAATATTTCATTTTTTTCACCTCAAGGTGCTAATACTAATAAAATATAATAAAGCCAATGAAATACATAAACTAGTAGCCAGCACATAGAAAATGCTTTAATGATCTATCATTGAATAAATAGTAGGAAAAAAGCCAAATCACAAACTTGGTGAGTTAGGTGTTGAGTAGGTAGTAAATATCTACTAAACAGGTGAAGAAAATAAATTTTAAGCATCACTCTGCTTTATAAGCTTAACATCTTTTGACTCAGACCAAAAGATAATAAGTCTCTGTGAAGCTGTTTGAGTTTTCTTATGATCTGAAGTATCTCTACCATGAAAACCACTGCAGACCAAGACCATACATACATACCACTTATTAATTATGTGCAATATATTAAGAATTTTAAAGAAGAAAAAGACAGCCTTGCTTTCTCAGGCACATTTTGCTCTATCCTCTTTCTTGGCTATACAGCTTCTGTGCAGTACACAGGACTCAATATTATGAAGTTTATAAAAGACTTAAAGTATAAGACGTTATTGAATTTGACATGGTAGGAAATTGAATGCTTTTGTTGAAAGGATAAATGTTATTTCTATTATTTTGGAAGGGAGGAAAATAAGAGAGAACAGCATTATTAACTGTGTGGATACTTTAGTAACAAGAAAAAGGATATAGAAAGAAATCCAAGTTTTCCAAATCATCATGTTATAATTTTATACACACCCACAACAAAATGAAAATACTGCACAGCAAACAATTGTCTATGGAGTCATTTACTTATTTCTTATAATGCACCATAATGGTAGCTACTATTTCCATTTAACAAATGAGAAGACTGCTATGTAACTTACAGAATGTCAGCTGACTACTAAGCGGTGGAACAAGAATTTGAATTCAGTACTCTGTGGTGATATATTGTGTACCCAAATAAAGCTTGCCAGAGGATAAGAGGACAGAGCCAGCCACTAGATTAGAAACAAAGCCAGACAGTGGTGGCATATACCTTTAATCCCAGTACTTGGGAAGTACACATGCCTTAAATGGCTGGGCAGAGAAAGGTATATAAGGCCTGAGGAGACAGGAACTAGAAGCTTTTTTGGCTGAAGCAGCTCATTTGGCTAGAGGCCTATCGGCTGAGGCTTTTTCAGGCTGAGGAGTTGGTGAGGTAATAGGTGGTGACTGTGGCCTGCTCTGCTTCTCTGATCTTTCAGCTTTTA